GGCAGCCGGAGCTGTTTATTTAGTGATGAGTTAATGAGTAAAGTGAAGATGTTAGTTTTAATCGCCGTAATAGCGATAGTGGTTTATTATTGAGAGAATCAAAGTAGAGACCAGCAAAAGCCGCCGAGTTTGCCTTTTAAGCCGCGAGCTAGTCCGGATAATAGTTCGCCCCAACCCTTTTTGCCTCCCCAGCCTAGAATAGTTAGCCCTGACCCGTATGTTTTACCTACCCAGTATGAACCGGAAGCAGTTAGTTGTCCGGAAGCTCAATGAGAGCCGGAAACGGTTAGTTGTCCAGCCTTTATTCCCGAAAGCGAACTTAGCGAAGAAGAAAAAAACCAAAGAAAAGCCCAAGAACAAGCCGATTATGAGTGATTATTAAACAATAAAACCCTAGTTGACTGGCATCAGGAAGGGAAAGTAAGTGATGACCAGTATCAAGTTTTAAGGGAATTAGTTAATCCTGAACTCATGACTACTTGGAACTATTTGCTTGATTTGTTGCCGGAAAATTGAGAGTGATGGGTGATAAGTGGCGAGTTTAAGGAAGAAGAGTTAAGAGAAGCGTGAATTAGGGCGGGATTTAGCAGAGAAGAAATTAAAGAATGATTGGATATTGGCTTGGGAGTGGAAGATTCAGCCTTTTGTGCTTGATTAAGGGATGTTAAGTGATTAAGTGCTGAGGAAGTGCTGAATTGAGGGGATTTAGCGGGGTTAAAAACGGAGTTTAGTAAATAAAGATTAAAATTATAATATAAGCAATTATGCTTAAAAGAAGAAGTTATCCAACTAAATTGGTGATTAATGAACAGTTAATCGATGAAATAATCATTGATCCACATTACGAAATTAGCCATTCTTATATGAATGATAAGTTGATTTTAGAAATAGTTGAACAATTGAATGGTCGTAAATTTAATCCTGTAGACCGCAAGGGTAAAAGAGAGTTTTTTATGTTAGATAAAATCTATTACCGGAAAAAATATTATCGTTTAGTTTGGTGCTTATGAGGCGAAAGTTCTCAGTTGGGTGTAATTAATTGCTTTAGAAGAAAATAGTTATGAAAAAAAAAAATAATATTAGTGTGTTCCCTGCAGAAAAGGAATTAAAAGCAATTAGAAATAAATTGTCTGATCTAAACTTTGAGGGCGGTTCTTTGGATTTACCAGCCAATGCTACTCTTTTAGAAAAGAATAAATATGGCATTTGCG